GAGAAAGACTGTGTGTGTGTGTGTGTGTGTGTGTGTGTGTGTGTGTGTGTGAATGCGTGTGTTGTCTTGCTTTAGCAGCATGTAAATATTGGAGTTACTCCTTGGCCAATGCCTCCAATATTGCTCGTGCTGCTGAAACAAGAAGTCACCAAACAGCACATGCACATCATCTTTTTATCTCAGCTACCAGGGCCTAGCTGGTGCAGGTAGTGGCTGACTCACTGGTACTGAAATACCTTCATGGACTGAATCATCAAACCAACATAGAGAAGCCAGGAGGACCCTCGGTCTCACCGGAATGAACTGAATGGTCAAAGGTAAAGATAGGTGCAGTGTGTCGTTTTGTTTGAGAAGTTAAGTAGCTTTTGTTAAATTCATGTGTTTTTCTTCTTGTTTATAGGAGAAGTATTCTTAAGTATGTAAAAAATATAATTCTACCCTTCACCCTTGTATCCTTTATTATTATTAATTTATTTTAGTTTCAATTTGTTTTGTTTTTTTAATGAAATAGTCCAAATGAAATCACTGTTTTCCTAAACGTGCTGTTGGATTTTTGTGTTAATGCAAGTAAATAATAAAACTGAAAAAAGAGGAAAATCTCGTCTGACCTGTCGCATACTCATTTGAACCTCGTTAGCTCACCTATGTCGCTGTATCTGTTCAGCACTTTCAGCAAGGAACGGAACTTTTATTTTGGATCTCTCATATTTGTGGTCGCTTTTCGTCTCTACTGTATTTGAATACTGTTGTAGAAATGTGTTATTTTTCTGTTGATGAACCAGTATAACGTGAAGTGCGTTAATGACTCTTTTTTTCAAATTTTCCTCATTTCCGGTGAGTACACTGAGAGCACAAAACTGACTCCAAATAGACTTTTCCCGATAATAACAAATAAGCAAGGTTTTTAGATATTTATATGGAGATTATTCCGCTGGTTAAAATGGACGGCATATTAACATTAGAGGCAAATGTCTCCCATGATCTTGCTGGAGAGGTTACCGAACGGCGCATGCGTACCATAGGCCTATTATTCTTATATAACATCAGCATTAAAACGCTTATCACCCAGAGACTTTCTGCAAGTTATTTTTCGGTTTCCCGATAGTTGTAAATGACGTGTCATTTCATGTTAACAGTACAAGTCACTTATTATGTAATCTTACGTGACGGTGCTTGTATTAAATAATACACAATTTTTGTGAAATTTCACACAAAGTTCTGTCGGCCTGAAAAAAGACCGTATAATGCAGTGCAGGGCTCAAATAGCCTACCATTTAAAGAATTTGCGCCATTTTATGAAAACCAATCAGAAAGACATTTATGAGCAGGCTAAATCATCTTAGCACATATAACCACGATTTGGACTCGTTCTTGCCATGTCTTTGTATTCTGAGAAATTATAATTAATTCATTTATTAGTTTTTGTATGATTTACCTGGGTCAAATAATTTAGGGTAACTTTGAGGGGTTTTATAAGGGACCCATTTACACGCAGAAATGCGTGCGTGTGTGTGTGTTTAATGTCTGAATGCTGCGTTTGCCTGATTTTATCACATTTTGTATCTTTGACAATAAAGAAAAGACGTTTTATTTATTTACTTTTTTTTTTTTTTTTAAATTGACCAGCACTTAAAACCGTTGTTGCCTTTAGCTCGTAATACGATCACTTCTGACACAGGTCGATTTAATCTTCTGTTCGTTTTATTTATTTTCTTTTTTTTTTTTTTTAATTGACCAGCACTTAAAACCGTTGTTGCCTTTAGCTCGTAATACGATCACTTCTGACACAGGTCGATTTAATCTTCTGACGCTTCGTTTTAGTCATATGATGCTTTTAGACATAATCTAAAGATGGTCAGCGCAGCTGAGATAATGTAGCAACAGTGCACAGTTTCATAGAGCTGATTTTAATCTATTATTTGGTAATGGCAAAACATACACATTTTAATAATTTAATGGAAAAGTTTTTCCAAGATGAAATGGTTTATTGTCCAGTACGTAGGCTATAGGACGTAAATTTCTTGAGTTTATTTGTTTTTTAGCAAATAGATAACTTGATATGAGAACGGATTTTTAAGCGCCTCTTTTAATTATTAAATAGCCTACGTTTTATCAGAACCTAAATTTATGTTTTCCGCGCACACTTATTTTGCTGTGTGTGATGCATTGAGAAGTCCTCTAATAAGATATAATTTTACATGGCTGTGAAAAATATATAGGCTATTTAATTTAGATGCTTACTCTTAGGCAGACATTTAAATAAAATACATGTTTTTCGTTTAATTTAATTGTGAATAGACTGATTTTTACAACTATTTGCAGTTACTGGTCATCGTGTGTAGACACAAGTTCCGAGGGGGAAAAAAGTCCGTCTATTTTTTATTTTATTTTAGAGTGTGTGTTTATGTCGGGAAACTTGGGTATGTCCAAATAAATTCACCATCATATATTACAGCTCTCGAAATTTTCTCTGCATACAGCTGCTGATTTCCACGCTCTTTTAATTCCGTAAACAAAAGAATGAGATTGAAGTCTTAAATCCTTACGGCTCTTTGCCGAGTTCCTTAAATGTTAGATGCAGGACAGTGCATATGTAAAAGGTTAACATGTAATTTTAATAAATACAATGTGTATTTTATTCATTTATTTTGCCATCTCGACAACCATAACACTTTGTCCGGGAGTTTTGAGACATTTGCAACTATAGCCTAGGTTAATTGCTGATGTTCCTTATTGCTGCATCATTTATCAGAATGCAAAGGTTGTTTTGCTATTTCATGATGCGCCGCATGATACACGTTAATTTATGCGGCCTTGTAATTGAAATTTAACCGTGATCATATTATTTCGTGTATCTGGTGTAGGCTATCCGGTTATATAATGGGCAAATGCTTGTTTGCTTTAGTGTCTGCAAAAAAGTAACAAAACTAATGCATTTCACATTTTGCAATTAGGACAGAGACGCTAAAGGGATTTTTTTTTTTTGCGGCTTCGTAAGTCATTGTCGACGTATGCATGTATTTCATTTGACAAATTTAAAAAGAATTAAGCATAATGCTAGAACTTTAATAGCATACATATATGAAGGGAAATTTATTTGGAGTCCCTATAGCAAATTTAAACTGTAAAAATAAAAACAGGATAAAATGGCAAAGTGCAACTTTTCGGTGTAGCCACTTCAAGAGACGAGTATTGACAAAACCAATTATTAAAACAAATCATTAGTCATTAGAAACATTAAACACAGACAAAACATTTAAAGCAAAAAAAAAATAGCCTACACGTGTGTTGACATGATTGCCTTTTTTTTCTTAAAATAGGCCTAATAGTGAGGTATACTGGTGTAAGATAGATAGGCCTATGTGGTAGAGTGAAGATAGTGTCGTTATTTTAAAGACACAATGTTACATTTGTTTAAAAAGAGAGAAAATCGAAGAATTGTAATTACATAACATGGCGCCATTTCAGAGTGAGCTTCCTATTTGTCGGCAATGTGTTCGGCAGGCTTCAGAAAAATTTAGATTTATTAATAAATTCGTTCTTATTCAATTTACTCCAAGTTATGTAAGGTTTTATTTTGTAAAGTAGGTTAAAGTAGGCAATTTCACTTTTCATCCCCCAGTTCGCCTGGCAACAGTCGGCTAAATATATGTTCAGTGACGTGCGCAGGGCTCCGGTGGTGACGTCATATCAGAGCAGAGTCGTCCGAGAATCTCAGGATTCCTGTTTAAACAGTGGCAAAAACGGGGATACATTCACTTTTTTTTCTTTTTCTTTTTCTTTAAAAAGTCCTGACTTTGTGTTTAATGGTGCACATGCATGTCTCTCCTGGGTGAAATTGTAAATATTACAAGGCATTAATGAGGTCTGGTTTTTTTGTATAAAATTATAAAATAATTTCCCCTCAAAACACGAATCTATTACATTAGTCAATAATGTTCAGATAAAGTTTTGTTACGGCACTAATTTCAAAACGTTCTCTTAATGGCAAATGTTATTGCAACATTTAAGCTATATTATCGCAATATGTATTAAATCAACAACAAAACAAACATATAGCAGTATGTCGGTTCATTCTGAATTAAAAATAATAATAAAAATACTGAAGAACTGAACTTACTGTCCTGGTACTAGACTGACATTCAGTTACGTAACGTTTAACCTTGAGTCTCCTGATAACTTGCACAGATAAACGATATCAATGCACAATCGGAATGTGTTCCTCTTCTTTAGTTTTTTTTTTCCAGTTAATTTCCAATACTGGTGTTTCCAACACTGCAATAAAGCATAATATATTAAAAAGTGAAAACTTGTATTCGAGAGGATCGTTTGGAGATTAAGTATACAGCTCTATGTAACTTAAGTGAACAAGCCATTTTATTAAATGTAAGATTTGGGAATGTTATCCCATTAGTAAACAACGATCCATCCACACTTGATTTCCCATTTAAAACCAACAGACAAAATCAGTGCAATTTACTAGCACACAAATGCTGACTGTATATATGAATCAGCCGTTCTTGTTACACATTCAAAAACAGACACAAACTAAATTTTCCCAATGCTACAAATCTACGGGATTTTCAAGATTGGCACATTGTAGGACATAAAAAAGTACCTAATGAATGGAGTTATACTGTAAAATCAGCTGAGGAAATCTGATGTTGTGTTTATCAGGTCCATGATACAGTTCCGACACAGCTCGGTTAGTAGCGTGCAGATCGCTTCCGCTTCGTTCCAGCACAACCCAAGCCAGCGCACAATCTCTCCAGGACAGGGCAGAGAAAAGCCACCGAGTGCGACCACCTTATTCTGGAAGCTCAGAGTGAGACAGTCCGACGGGAGAAAGTTCAGCGCTGGGAGACACGCACATACAACCAGAACAACTCTCCAGAGCACGCGGGAGTAGCGCGGAGCGGCAGCAGGGGGCAGCGAAGCCAGGTAGGTGCTGCTCTCGTAGGGGGCGCACAGCTTGTCCACCTCTCCAAGACGCACCCGGTCCCATTCCTTCACATCGAACCTCTGCAGGCCAAGCAACCCCACGTCCACGTCAGTCCGCGACGGCACCGGCGTTCCCCGAATGACGCGCAGCTTTTCCCTGAAGTTCTGCATCTGCTGGAGGAAAGTGAGCGGGTCCGAGAGCGAACGGAAGGATTCGGCGATGCTGAGTGCACGCTGCTGCTCCTCGAGCGCCGAGCGGAGCTGGTTGATCTCGGGGTCAAAGGTCTGCATGACCGCGAGCTTCAGAGTCTCCAAGTCCGAGAGGATCTCGCTCCGTTTGTGCTCTAGCGTGTGTAAAAGTTTGTCAAAGTACTCTGAGACTCGATCCGCGTCCCGCGAGACCCTCTCCAGCGCTTTCCTCTTCGCTCCTTCTAACGATTCCAGGCACGAATGCACCTCCGCGCCCCTCCAGCCCTCCACGACACGAAACAACTCCTCAAACGCGAGCTTCTCGCGTTCGTACGCCTCCTCCAGCGCGCAAAACTTGTGTCCTTTATGATCGCCTGTCGTGGCGCAAAAGCCACAGATGAGCTTCAGGTCCGTGGCGCAGAAGATGTTGAGCGGCTGTCCATTGTGAACTCGGCAGAGAGACATCCTTGGCATCACTCGAATCCTGTTGTACTTCTCCACGATGCCACGCAGGGAGTAATTGACTTGCAAGCTCGCGATGCCGTTGTGCACGGTCTCCTTTCGACAGGTCGGACATTTGAACGGTGGTCTCCAAGCAGGGCTCCGGTTACCGTCCAGGATGCCCTCCAGACACTTCTTGCAAAAGCTGTGAGAGCACGGCAGAACGCGCGGATCCTCGAAAAGACCGCAGCATATTGGGCATGTGAGGTCCTCCTCCAAGAGCTCCATCGTATCCTAAAGTGGAGAAAGACATCAATATGAAAGATTGTCGGTGGCATGACACATCAACGCAAGTTTCATCATCTTGGCAAGCGTCTTTCTCGTGCATCCCACACCGATTGTGAAGTCTAGAGCACTCAGTGCTGGCCAGTGTCATTTTGGACATCATCTACATTACGCGCAATAAACCAAATATAATGTTTGCTTTTGCAGAATGCGTTACGAGTCTACAGTGAATACATAATAGAACCAAATTGGCTCAAAATGAGAAAAACTGCATCCATGTGAAGCTTAGCGTGCAGTTTTTTTTAAAGAATCAACATCATCTGCATCGAACAGAAGATATGTTTCAATGCATTGCAAGCGATTCTGTGGAAGAGGCACGACAGGTTAACCAAATATAGTAGGTTAGATTGCCTGATGATGAAGACTCCTGTGCGCACCAGTACTTCCTTTTTAATTGCCGCGTAAGAACTTTCGTGCAGGAATATCCGAGGACTTGTCCAACAAACTTCAAGCATTGATTTAGAAAAAAGATTCCCCGCCGTCGAGTTGTCAAAAATGTTTCTCGGTTCGCCCGGGTCCGGTTGTCAAGTTATTACACCGGTTGTGGCAGATTTTGCAGGCGGAAAGCATCAGCAATTGGACCAGAAGCGCACTAGATGCTTAGGCAGTGTGCAACGCAAACATGGCTCTTGTTGCTGTGCAGACTTCGCCCTTCCAATTGGGAAATTTTAACTAGTTCAGGTCAAGTCAGTATGGCCAGGCAGTTAAAAAGAATGCGCACAAACATCTAATGAATACTGCATCTAAAGACAAACATTTCAACGCCACATTCAGCGTAATATCCGCGTAGCGAAGTGTATTTGCAGACTCGAGCGCTTGAATACACGTTTTGCGCGGTGAGAAGGAAATGCAGAGGATTCCTTCATTCTTGGATGGGGTTGTTGCGGGGGAGCACTCACTCTCTCCTAGATCAGCGTTTCTCTACAGATTACGTCAATACTGGCGTTACCCTTCATCTACCCACATAAACGCCTAATTCGTCTATTCACTGAGCTACAGTAACGAAGTGATTTTCGCCACTTTGGTCGCATATGCCCGTGCCATGTGTCAGGGTCTTGACGCATCGATAACCAATCGCTACCGAGTCACGTGTCAAAATATTTTGACCGATTTTTCTTCCCCTGTTTCCATGCCATCAGGAAGAGAAGGACTTCCGAGGCGCCGCGCTCATTGGTCGAGTCAGGGATGAAAGCGCGTGCAGTGACGTAATTGGCCACGAGAGGGCTCAGTGAACCGGTTTGTCTTAGAAATAGCATAAGCGCTTTTTATGATTGTTTGTTTTTATTTAGTGTATGTTAATTCGATAATAACACTGACCAAAATTCACAAGAGGGACGCATACATTCAAAAACATACAATTTTATCCCAGTCCAATTCAACACTATGGTATATGGTATGTTTTATTGGTGATTTTTTGGTTAAGTAACAAAAGATGTTTTGGCTTTGAACTTTAAACACCTTGCGTTATATGCGTGTCATATGTTTACCTGTCATAAAATAATGTACAAATATATGTGACCCTCTCTGTGAAATCCAGGCTAAAGTCTCAAAATCTAATTATGAGAGAACAAGCATCAACGTTTGATTTTAACCATTCATTTCACTATGATTTTAATCTGACATGGCCTTACAGTCAATATTAAAGATATAAAGGTTACATTTTCACAGAATGTTCTTTACTTTATGAAGGATGATTTTATGTACCGTAGTAAACATTAAATCACAAATAAGAAAATGACTTTAGCTGGGTTTTCACAGCCAGGGTCACATATTCTCTAACTCTTGGTGAGGTGAAAGTGGCCAAAAAATCCTCCAGTTTAAACTTTTGCAATTGCCTCGTCGCGGTGTATTTTCAATTCAATGGCTATTAAAGTTTCTCAGAGTGATTATACGAATGTAAATTTTAATCCAGACCGCTGATGGGGCGTCACGCAAGCAGCTTTTGTCACCAGCTATCTGTAACTTTTCTCTGACCTGGTCAGGATGGACCATTTGCAGTTGTTTGTGATTGCTGGATTTGTAAAAACTAAATTTTTATAGAGATTTTGCAATTTTCTTACATTTCCTGTCAACCCTAAATGTAAAGAGGTGCACCTTAAAATTATGAATCACATTTACCCTGCAAAATAATTTTTAAGAGTAAGGTTTAATATTGGGGACTCAAATATATGCCAATTATGCAAATCAGAGATAGAAACAGTTGAACACTGTTTTTTTTTTCCCCAGTGTAATTCGGTACAAACATTCTGGAATGATTCATTCAGCTGGATACAACAAAGAATACCTGTAATCCTCTCATGGGAAATTAAGTTTGGTTTCTTATTTAAGGATAAAAAGATATCTTATGTAATAAATAGCTGCTTTTGCTGAAATTTTACATTCATAAATGTACATTTTTCAAAAATTGATTAGTGGTTTTTAAAAAGCAATTTGTAATATATTTGGAGACATTAAGAGGGATGAAATGTCCCAAAGCAAGGTATTTGTATACTTTATTAGAGGATTTTGGTTTCATAATGTGAGAGCCACCTTCTCCCCTACTTTTTCTTTGTCTTTAAATATATATATATATTTTTTTTTCCCCCAATATTTTTATTTTATCTTAAATTTATTTTATAATATGGTGTACAGAGTGTGAATGAAAATTGAGTGTAATCTCAGTTATGAATGCCTTTCTGTGTTGTTGTTGTTCAAAGCATTGAATAAAAATAAAATAAAATAAAAAAACTTTCTGAGCCGGTAAGCGCCCCCTTGAGGTGGACCCTGTGTGTGTCAAAACCGCACCAGTAGTCAACAAATGATTTTTCCGTGGGATCCATTCTATCCTGGAAGCGTTGTACGCTCTTGAGTTTGACGCGTGTAACTGCACTTCCGGTGATCTCGGCGCTAGAATGGCTGCAGTGTTTACGTGTTGTTTGGGCTGCTGCGGGGATGGCGGAGCGGGCCATGCTCCCCTCAAAGAAATGCCCATCGTACAGCTAGACACGCACCACATGGGTAAGAGTCATTTCCACTGCTCAGCGGGTTCACAAGAAGACACCACTTTACATTTAAAGCGAAGAGATGTGTCAAGCTAGCAGATGACGCTATACCCTAAAAACAGCGGCTTGAACACAAATGAACTAATAAATAGGTTTACCATCACTGTTTTTAAACAAATAATGTGCATTCGTTCCTAATAGTGTCTAATTAATCAGGTCAAATAGTCCTCCTTACTACTCTGGATCACATGCTAGCTGCTAGTATACAGCTGACAGATCCAATGTCTGTTTAATCTCGCTTGTGATTGAGTGAATCTGGTAGTGGGTGTCATTTCAGCCTCGTTTTTCTGCAGTTATCTCTGAAAACATTATGAAATACATACCTGCATTTCAGTGCTGTAGCAGTGTGGTCATGAGAGTTTGCTTGGCCTTTTTTCCCAGGGACGGATGTGGTCATAGTGAAAAGTGGGAGGCGGATCTGTGGAACTGGAGCCTGTCTTGCCAACGCCCCTCTACACCAGAACAAGAGCTATTTTGAGTTCAAGATCCAGTCCACGGGTGGGTGCCTCCTTGATAGTTGTTACTATACAGTCAGCAGGGTCAGACTTTTCATCATGTTATATTGTAGCCAGGTTTTTTCGGTTTTCGCTTTGGTTGTTTTTAATATTTTTCTAATGCCTGTACAAACACTTTAGCACTGTGTAGCTGTCAGATAGATGTATATGTTGTCTCAAAGAGGAATGTTGTTGATTCTGTAGCTGATGTAAAATAGATTGACATGAACAAATGAATCAATAAATAAAATAAGCTTTGAGAACACAACTCCAGTTAAGTAATTGAATCAATTGCAATAACCAGAATTAAAGCATTAGACAGGGATGCCATGTTGAGTGTTTTCATATGGTTAAGCAATAGTGTCCCTTAATATAAAAGAGAATTTGTGATAGTAAGTTAATAACTCATGATATTTCATGTTTCTCAACAAATTCAAATGACAAACAAAATAATCTTTTGCATAAAGACATATCTAAACATGATGACAGCGTTTTAGTGCCATTTAAAGTAAAAAAAAAAAAAAACTAAGATTATGAGATTAGTCATAATATTTTGACAAAGTCAAAGCAAAATTAGATTAAAGTTGTAATATTTTGAGAATAAAGTCATATTACTACTTTAATCTCGTATTGCTATGACTTTATTCTCGTAATTTTGAGTTTACTCCCAAAATATTATAACTTTAATCTCATAATCTTAGATCTTATTTTAATTTATTTTACATACCACTAAAATGCCATAATAATAAC